CATAATAATTAATTTCCAAAAGCAGACATCCATATAGTTAATTTTATACAGGAAATTTAAAAACTTTATTTGAAATCCCTGAAAATGAAGGAAAGAATCCATATATAGAAGCTAAGAAATTTTATCGTTCTAAATATTCAGCTAATAGATTATCTATTGTTATTTATACTAATGAAGAATTAAAAAAAAGAGTTACAGAATTATTATTTGAATATTTTAATGGATGTGTAGATAAATAATTATAAAAAATTACATATAAATAATTTGGATTGCCTTTAAAAAATTAAAGATTTTTTTATATTTAAAGTAAAGTTAAAGAGTTAAGAATTGAGTTTGATTTTGATATTGAAAATAATCATTTAACAAAATCATTGGAATTTGTGATTCTAATGTTAATGAAACAATTTGAAAAAAACTTTTGTGATGAAATGTTTGAAAAAAAATTAGCTTTTAAATGTTATTATACATTAAAGGAAATACCTAAAGAATTTGCAATTTTTAAAATATTTCTTCATTTACCTAAATAAACTAAAATTGATGAAATTCTCACTTCTTTATATAAAAGAATTAATTATTTAAAACAATAAGATAATTTAGAATAATATTGGGATCATCTTCTTTTGACATAAGAAATTAATTTTTAATATTCTAATTATGATATTGAGAATATTATATAATTATCATCTAATTTAAAATAATATTTTTCAAAGGATATTTTACAAAATAAATTACTTAAGAAATATGATAAGGCAGCTATTTCTCATGTATTATAATAAATGGAACCATAAAATATGACAATCATATTGTTAGACAATTTTTATGATTCCTATTAAGTTGATATGGGATTTATGAAATTTGGTAATTCTTTTGCCTAATAATCACATTGTATAGAAGAAAAGAAGAAAATATTCAAAGGCAAAGTCAAAAAAAGATATAGAGTTTATGAAGATGAAATTAATGATCTAATTATTGATAGAGATCATCCTATAGATTTATCTGAAGAAGAAGAATTCATAGTTGAACCAGATGATGTCATCTAAACAGAATAAGATTATGATATTGATAAAGGATATTCAATACCTGAAATTGAGAATTTTTCATATCATTAACTCTTTGGATTACATTCTTTTGAAGCTGGAATTACAGCAAATACAGTTCAAAAACTTTTAAATATCAAGGATACATCACTTAAAATAGTAGATGACTCTCATATTCCAACTACATTTGATTTATTACCTTAATCTCCTGATAATTAAATTATAAAGAAAAAAAAGAAAAATTTTAAATATCCTGAATTATTGATAACTACTTAAGCAGGAAATTTATGGCATATTTAAGATACCATAAATGGTGTTCCAAAAGTTTAATTTAGAGTTTTAGCTAGATTTTTAGATTTTGAAAGTTTAGGTGAAAATTTTATAGCAAAAGAAATTGTTAAGTTGAATTTTAAGATTCCAAAAGGTTTTAATGTTGCTTCAATTTAAATAGATATTGGTGTTGGATAAATTGAAATTATTGTATAATGTTTTACTTAATAAATAGAAGAAATTGCTAAATAAGTAATGAAAAATTATTAAGAAGCTTTCACAATTAATAAGGAAGATTTTCAATGGTATATAGAGAATTTAGAATATTAAGATAGATATTGGGAGAAGAATACTACAACTATAGAAAAAGCTTTGTTTTATGCTAAATAAATTTTAACTAATTCATAAGAATTTTAATAACATAAATATGATGTCAAATTTGAGAAAATATAAGAAACCTTAAAGAAATTATGGGATAATTAAAGATTTGATATTTTACTTTATGGAAATATTGATGCTGATTCTTCAAAATCATTATTTGAATCAATTATTCCAAAAGGATAGAGTAAAAGTAAATCATTTTTTACTGAAGAAACTTATAAATTATCAAAAAGGGCTATTACATATAGATTGGCTAAATTAAAATCTGAGAGCATTGTCACTTTGAATCTTTATTAAGGATCTGATCCTAGTTTGGTATAATATGTATATATGAGACTTTTATAAAGACTGATGAAATTTCATATTGAAGATTATCTATTTAATTAATTGTAATTAGGATTTGCAGTTGATGTCTCATTAATATAAGTTAATCACATTGATTCAATTGTTATAATAGTTTAAAGTAATTCTTATGATCCTGAAGAAATAGACTTTTATATTGAAGAGTCATTGGGCTATTTTGAATCCTTTTTGAATAGACTTCCTGATAAAGATTTTGATGGGTAATTATAATTTATACTTATTATTAGAATTAAATATGCAATCTAAAAATAATTACAACAAGTTCCTAATACATTAGAATAATAAGCTGAAATAGTATGGAGTTCAATCAGAGATGGATCTTATTACTTTACTTAAAGAGAATGTACAATTTTAGCTTTGGAAAAGATATCAAAATCAGATCTAATGAAATATTTTTTGATTTTCTTTAAGGCTAGAAATTCCAAATTGTCTTTATAACTTTTTAAAGAAGGAGCATAAATTCCAATGGAAGTTTTAAGAGAATAGGACACTTTTGCATAGAAAACATCAGATTTAATTTTAAATTAGGAATAATTTTAATAGGCAATTAAGGAGACTTACAAATTCAAATCAAAATATATAGAATAAGCACCTTCACATATGTGTTGATAAAAATTAATTTATTTATTCAAAACTATATTTAAATATATTTTATTTGTCGTCTTAGAATTATCATTGAGATTAAAAGTACAATTAATATACTTAATAAGACTTTGAGACAGAATGAATTAAATTCTCAAATTTAAAATGAGTAATATCAATTATTAAATATAAAGAAAAACTATTATAGAATTAATGATTGTCTATAGTCTTTTAAATCTCAAAAAATAATGAGTATCCATATGAATAATTAGAATACTCATTTTTCAAATAGAGAATATTCATCTTTAAGGTATTATTGAAGAAATTGAATTATTAATATATTGAAGTTTATTAAAAATAAAAACAATGTTAAAGCCTCCCTCTAAAAATTCTAAATTAGAATTACTTTAAAAGATTTCATAACCATCTACTGATTCTTCTAATGCTCTTAAATTAAGTAGAGAAAATTCAACTAATAATTTAAGTAAGGGATCAAATTCAACTCTTTTAAAACCTTAGCATAAATCAACATAGAATAGTAGAACATCTTCTAGTTAGAAAATCACTGATCTATCATTAAAGAGAATAGCAAGTAAAGAAACATCTCCATCAAAATTGGCTGAATCAACATTATTGAAAGGATCAAGTATAATTAAGCCTAAATTATCTTTAAAGTAGAAAACTACATATATGAATGAAGGGAGGCCAAAAAGCTCAAGTGATTTAAAAGTAAAATAAAGTTAGCTTACTAATTAATCATAATAATTAAATTATGGGTAATAAAAATAAACATCTGTTTAAAAAAAGGAGACTAATTTGTAGGGAAATCGTTCAATAGGTTTAAATAAATTAAATAAATCAGTTAATTCTAATTCTTCAAGTCGTAAAATATCTCCATAAAATAAGGATATATTATTCATAAAATAAAAATTAGGTTCATCATAAAGTTAAATAGAATAATAATCTCAAGAATTATTGTAATAGCATAATGAATAATAATAAGTAAAATTGAATGATCAAGAATAAATAGATTTGATACAATATCAAGACTCTTAATAAGATATTAATTAAAGTGAGGATAATCTTACAATTGATTAATCTAAAGAATAATAATAAGATGGAATTTTAAATGAAGGCATATCTGAATAAAATTAAAATTAATATGATTAAATATAACAATCTAATAATTATTCAGAACACCATGATACTGAAAATGATGAAGATTAATATATTAATTAATATTAATTAGAAAATTAGTAATTAATTTAAGCAAGTGAAAAACTTAAATATTTAAGTAATCATATTCAAGAATTAATATAAAATGATGATGATGATATTTAATCAAATGAATTTGATATCAATTAAATAGATAATTAAGAAATAGATTTAAAGATAAATTCTGTTAATTAGAAAGTAAAATCTTAGTTATAGATTGAATCTATATAATTAGATAAAACTAATTATTAAATTAATTAATTATTATTGACAGAAGGAGATAAAAAATAAAATTAATTATTTAAAGAAATTAAGACATATTCAGATTAGATAGGAGAAAGATTGAAAACAATATAGGAAGATATTCAAAGTAATGATGCTATCAGTTAAATATAATTAAATGATATAGCTGATGGAGATACTAGTGATATAGTTTTAACACATAGAACAAATGATGCTTATAGAAAAAATAGTTATAATTTCTAAAGGAAATAATCTTAGAATGCATCAAGTTCTAAATTTTTAGAAATTGTTATTTAAGATGATCAAATTTAAACTTAATAAATTTAATCAGCTAAGGCTTAATTATATTCATAATAATTTTAAATTTTTACTTAAAATGATAGAAATCTTATATTAGATGATACATAAGTAAATAAAAAAGAAATAAATTAATAAATAGAATAAGATATTGGAATTTTAAATCAATTAGATAATTTTGATTTAAAATTAATAAATGATACTAAAAATAATCTTATTAGTTAGTAAATAACAGAAAAGTAGTAATCAAATTTAATTTCAAATAACTCTAATGTAGATTAAAATTCTATTAAAATTAATTATTAAGTCGAAGCATAATCTACTTTTATATAATAGAATCTTACAGATAATTTATAATAATTAAATGGATCATGTTTTAACATATAAAATGAGTAGAAATAATAAAATATGAATTATGATAATGTTAATAAGGAAATTATAAATGAAGATTTAAATTTAATAAATATATAGCAATAATATATAGAAAAAGATTAAAAAAATGAATTCTAAACAAATTGTAACTAATTACCTTAGTAATCTAATAATATTGATTTGAGTGAACATAAAAATTAAGATATTGGAAGCATTTATTTTATTTAATAACAAAATAAAATGATTTAAGAACAAGAGTACAAAATTTAAGGAATTAATTTAAATCAATAAGAATTAAAAACGTAAAATTAAGATATTAAAGATTAATTATAAAATGAAATTACTAAAATTAATAGAAATGATGATGATGTATATAATTAAGATTTGGATGATAATGATAAAGTTTAGAGGGATAATATAAATTAAGAGGATTAATAATTTAATGAAAATAATGAAAATAATAATAAATATGATAATTATGAAGAAAATTCATAAGGATCTAAGAAATCAAGAATAACAAATAATTAAGAGATAATAAATAATAGCTCGTCATTTCATTAAAATGAAACTGAAGTAGATTTTAATTTTAATGATATACCAAGTTAGAGAACTTAAGAATTTGGTGAGACCTAAAGAGATATTGAAAATGAAATAGAACAATTATCTGATTCATAAAAATAAATAATTATTAAAAAGAATGAAATTTAACCAGAAATTAATAATGTTCGTTTTTAAATGACCTTAAATCTATAAAACTTATAGGGATAATATAAAAATTACAAAGATGATTAATTAGATACAGGAAGAACAGATGATAGTATGATAAACTAATTAGTTGCTTAAGATAGAGATTTAAATAGTATACATTTAGTTAGACACAATTCTGAAACTAAACCCTTATTTAAAATGAAGAAATAACATCTTTATATTAATGACATAATATAAGAAAAATAAGAATCAGCAACTCCTGATAATTATACAAGATCTATAAATCCTACACCTAAACCTGGTGGAAGTACAAAACATTAAAAAAACTTATATTCTTTTGGAGTTTAAGAAGATCTTAGGTTTAGATAAGGAGAATAAATAAGACTATCAGAGAAAGAAATTGATAAAGATAGAAGAAAAAAAGAATATTAATAATAAAAGAAATTGTAAATACAATCAGAAAAATTAGATGATGAAAAAATAAAAGAACTTTAAAAGATATTATAATCCAAGTTAGAAATTAAATAATAAAAAGAGAGTCGTATATTAGAGTAATCATTAAAAATAATGGAATTTTAATACACTCTTGATCATATTCCAGATATTTAAGATTTAGATGGAAATATAGATTCATTTTTAAGTAATATTATTAATGAATTTATTGATTGTCATAAAAGGAATAGATATAAAAATATATCAAATATGAAAGATCCTCAATTAGCAGATTTGATGAGAAATAAATTTTAGGAAATATTGAAGAAAGAAGAATAATAATAATAATAAGATCCATAGATAATATAACAATAATAAATACTTGATACTGAGATTAAATAAAAATAGCAAATTTAATTTATATTATAATTGCTATTTTAAGAGTATAAACTATTAAAATTAAAATCTCTTGAATTAAATTAAGAATATTTTATTTCTTAACAAAAAATATATGGAAAAATGAAAAAACTAAGCATTAGAGAGATATTAATCCCTTAATTAAAATAATTAGATATTGATTAAAATCGAATTATTAATGATTATAAAAATAGTATTTTATCTTAAGAAAAAGATTTTAATGAAAATGAATTAATTAAGTTTATTCAATCTGAAATTAAAATCTAATAGGATTTTCATCATTGTATATAAGATATTAGAAATATATTTAAGGAAAGGATTAATTAAATTAAGGAAGGAGAGTAAGTTATGTAAGAATAACTTTTATAAAATTCTTAAAAATATTGATCTAATATTTGTATGTATTGAATTAAATTAATATCAATTTAGTAAATAATATATTCAAAGTTTAATAATTTTAATAGTTTTATTTGAATCTCCTATTAATATCTATTAAGATAAGGGTAGTAAACAAGTAATTTTATCAGCAAATTAAAACTTGCGAGTTCTTTGAAAAGACTATATAATAACATTATTATCTTTTTGAATAATAATCTAATTTTTAGGCATAGCATAGATCCAGTCAGCATCTAATTCAATTTCTGAATTAAATATTAAATTATTTTATTAATCATCAAAAACAATTAATGATCTTTGTGTAGTAAGTATATATAATAATTGATCTTCATAGAATATAGTTTTGATATGTTTATCAAGTTATATTTTTTAAATATTAGTTATATCATCAATTATTTAATGTATTTAATTATCGATGGCAATAATTATTTGTTTAGGGGCCACACTTAAGCATTTCACATTTCCACTTAATGGTATTTTATAACTTTGAAAAGTTAAGAAATTGGCAGTCAAAATATATAATGATCCTTATTAATCTAAATGCAATTAAATAGGAGGTTCTTCTATTCTAATGGATTATTAATATTTAAAAGGACCATGCATAGAATCAGATATCCATTATATTATTTAACCATCACTACTACTAGTGTAAAATGTTTTATTATTAGCTTAAATGATAATTTTAGTCATTTATTTAATTGGTCTATAATGTTATCCTATACATGTAATCATCTTAGAATATTAATTTAATGAATATAATTTGTAATTTTGACAACAAACTATAAGATCAGTCTAATTAGGATCATTTTGGATATGAACAGCTATAGATTTTAGAGAATAATAATCAAGATCTTAGATAATTGATTAATTAGTTTAATGAATTCTATTGTTTCTAGTTGTGATATTTTCAGATTTACTATAATCTAAAGAGCATTGATTAATATGATTGTTATCATTTGCCCATATCCAAGATTAATTTCTAAGCCCATTATTAATTTTTTACTAAATATTTTAATTATTGTTTTATCTGTTGCTATTTAAATATTTAAACGATTCCCTTTGATTTTTAATATTGTTATGTGATCTTTCAGTTTCAGTTCCACCTAAATGACTGTAATTAGTGGCAAAAATAGTATGATTCTGCTTTCTTTTAGAAATTGTTTATTTTTCTTGAGTTATTGATTCATAAAATGCTGATGTATTAATATCTTATAAGTTTTGATTGAATCTATCATTGAAAAATTGTAATATTTTTTTATCATTCTTAGGTTTCTTTTTTTATAAAATATTGTTGAGTGATTAACCAATTTCTTGAATTTTTTATAGTGAAAATTTCATTGAAGTTTGAGGGCGTTTGAATTGGGTAATTTTGTAGTCTTCTAATTCTGTGATTCCAAACATTTTATTTGGAGTTGTTGAACGTATACTCATTTAATTAATTATTATATTAAAATACAAATTAGAGAAAAGTAATTCTACATTTATGTTTAATTAATAACAATATTGATATTTTAATACTAGCTATGGAATATATTGATATTAAAAAGAATAATAACTAAGGAATTATTTGTATAATGAAAAAATATTTACATTAAGATTAACTAAGATGTTAAAAACAATTTATATAATCATTTAAAGAATATTAATAAATTATGAATTTAAAGTTAAGGACTATTTATAGCAATTTAAAATATCTTCATACAACTTTTACAAAAAATGTAACTTAATTAAAAATATATTAGAAAATCTACTAAGATTTAATTATAAAAAGATAAAATTATGAGAAAAACTATATATGAGAATTATTATCCATATATTTATATTAAATATCAATCATTTTATATTTAATTTAGATAAAGATATATACTATTTTATAATTAAGAGACAATTAAATAATTAATGTTATAAAGATATTAATCAATAATTATTGAATTAAATGACTACAATGTTTACATTTTAGTAGAATACTAAAAATTAAATAAAAAAAGTCTGTTTAATCATTTTTTAATTTAACTAATAATAAATTTTAATATATAAATATTTATTTTAAACATTATTTTTTATAGTTTTACATATGATTAATGTTTATTTTAAAATATATATCAATATAATATACATCAGATAAATTATTATTTCTTCTTCATTTAAGATTATTATAAAATTAAATAGATTTCATAATTAAATTAAGAAACAATTTTAATTCTTAAAATTAAAACTCCTTTCATCTTATAAATTTCACTCAAAATAAAATCTTTACGAATTCAATAGTAAATATATCAGCTAATTTATTTTGAAATTTATTAATTTTTGAGATTGTATGCTATTGATATAATATAACTTATATACTAAATAAATTCAAAAGAAGATTAGATTCAATTTCTTTATAAATATAATTTATTCATTATAAATATGGATGATCATAAAATATATAAATTAAGAGATTTACTAGAATATATCTAAAGTATATGAATTTGTAAATCTATTTAATCTTTATATATAAATTATTTGTGTTTTACAGAAAAGAAGTCATAAATTTTTATTTGCAATTACACACGCTTTAGTTAGATAGTTGTATTCATTAAGAAGATTTTAATAAATATTTAAAATTAAAATAAAAATATTGTAAGAATGCCAAACCATTTATTCAGAACTCATCCAAGAACCTACGGAAAAGATTCAAGAGGTTATCTATAAATAATATAAATAAAGAATGCAGAGTCTGCGCTGCTAGACAAGGTTTGATCAGAAAATATGGCATGAATGTTTGCAGAAGATGTTTTAGAGAAAACTATGAATTGATTGGCTTCCACAAAGTATATATTCATTAAGAATTATTAAGTATAACTGAGGAAATCGCAGTGAGATATATGTACATTATAAATATTAATTTTACATTCTCCCCAATAAATTATATGAGAAATAATCTTTTGAATATATAAAAAAACTTAGTTAAAAAGGTAGTAAAAAGTCACATATTCGACCCATCTCTTGTCTTTATTCTCCTTCTGAAAAAACCTTCTATATCGTATTAACCTGGACCCTAAAATGCTTAATTAATTCATACTGGTATAAATTCAGCTTTCTGGTTCCCTTTTTATGCCTTTCCAAAAGACATCGATGTCTTTCGAAGGCTAGTATAATCATTGATGTAACTGAAAGGAGTAGAAGGCTTGGATTGTTATTGCACATTTTATTTAGGAAAAGAAAACTTATTTATTTATTATTCTTACACTCACACTTCTGCTTTGAGGTAGTTCATAATCACCTGGACCTGGAAGTTTTTCTTTTTGATTAATTGCCCTTTATGCTGTACCGAAAACAGCTCTTGGAGAAGTATCAGTTGTAATTCTAGGGGAATAATCTGCTGGACCTGGCCCTATAAGCACTGATTTTTCCATTCTTGGACTAGTTCCAATTTTGATACCCTTTGTTTTGTTATCCTAAAAACTATACTCTCCAGGACCAGGCAATATGTCCATTTTATTTTTCCTTTAACTTTTTGGTATTTTGAAACCAATATCTGATCTTAAAAGAGAAGCAATATTGTAACATCCAGGTCCAGTTGCAAAAGAATTTATTTTAGTTTTTCGATCTGCTTTAGGAATTGCATAAGCAGGAGCAAAAGATTTATTGATTTGATTGTATTTAGCTGGGCCTGGAGAGTCATTGTAATTTGTCATTTATCTTTTTTCTTGAGGAAACTTAAACCCATTGGTTGTGTATGACAATTAGTTATATCTTCCAGGTCCTGGAGAATCACTTATTTTGTAGAAGGAATCTTTTGAACCTGACATGATTGCTCTTGGACTTTATCTAAAAGGGATAATTGGGTGATATTTCCCAGGACCTGGAGTGTCTAATATAAACATGTCTTTTTTTCTAGATCCCATAGTATATGCAGGTGAATTAGGTATTTTACTGTAAAATGTTTAGGTTAATTACTCTTATTTAGCTATTAAATTTACCTTATTTCATTCCAACAACTTTAATGAATCAATAAAAAATAAAATTAATTCATTCAATTTTTAATATGAATTATATTCATTCTTTTATTGTATTTATAGATGATTTTCTTATTTTAAGTAAATAACATAAAAATATAACTAAATAAAATGAGTCATTAAATTAGAATATTTTATATTTAGATTACTATTTATTAATATTATGTTTGTAATATCTTTTATTTACTATATATAATAAGTTATTGTATTTTCAAAAAATAAGTAATTATATATTCCATTTCAATCGCTAAAGTTCGTTATAATACTATTTATTGGGTTAATCTATATATTTTACAAATGTACTTTCAAATAATATACAGGAATTGAGAATTATTTTAAATGTTCAAAAAGGTCATATAGTAATTTTTAAATTAAACGATTTCATTCTCTACTTTTAAGTAACCATAAATTACTTATATAGAAAATATTAATATATTTTTGAGATAGGGGCTATTCTAGTAGTTCTTCATTGATTTTTTATGTTTGCTTAATGATTAATAATATTTACAACTGGTAGAGTAAATTTTACTTAAGATTTAATAGTCTATTTTCAAAAATTTATAAGATTAAAACAAAAAAGTAGATTATCATTTTAAGTTAGATGATCCTTCAATATATCAATTAAATACTGCTGAAATTGAAGTTTAATATAATTTAACAAATATAATTAATGGATTTTAATATAGCAATTTTATTCCCTGGATTGATGCATGAAACCCGAAGATTTGTAGTATTATAAAAGCAAATAATTTGAACATGATAACTTTATTAATTTCTTATTTCATTTTAAATAAATAAAGTATTACTTTACATTATATCCAAGTTTATTTTAATAAATTATGCTCTAATTAATTAAGATATTCAAAATTTACATCCAGATACCTTTTTGATAGAATTTTTAATAAGTTAAATTTTTATATACAAATTAAATAAAAAATTGGTAATTTGGTAATTGAACATCATGAGATTTCAATACAATTTTATTTTATA